CATCCTTGAGTGTGCCCATACCACCTCCTCTCTACTGTTATTATTGTCCGGTGATGTCGAGACTAATCCTGGCCCAGAAATGCAAGAAATCCTGATTGAACTACAAAAAATTTCTGCTGGGCAAGCTACACTTCTCACTGAGGTGCAAGAACTTGAAAACCAGCTATCGACAACCAACCAAACCATAACTGACCTAAGTAAACGCATGACTGAAGTAGAAAACCACTACCAGAACCTGTCGCCTCTACATGCAGATCTTGAAGCGATCCGTACGGACGCAACTGAAACGAACCGTTTGGTCTCCAAACTGGAGGCTAAATTAGACGACGCAGAAAACCGCTCACGACGTAATAACTTAATATTCTACAACCTTCCCGATCCTAACCCAGCCGAAACAAATGCAGAAGCAGAAAGGCTTATTATCAGACACTGCCGTGAACACCTCCAAGTAGTCATCGACCCAAAAGAAATAGATCGCGCACATCGCCTCGGACGCCATGCCACTAATCGCAACCGTCCTATGATAGCAAAGCTCACCTTCCATTAAACCAAAGAGGCCGTACTTACAAATGCACCCATGCTGAGAGAAACCGACTTCAGCATCGGCGAAGACTTCTCCCAGTCAGTCCGAACCGCTCGCCGACACTTAGTTAATTTCGCGAAAGCAAAATCAGCAAAGTTTCAGATACGTTATAAAACCCTTCATATGGGCTCAAAATGTTACATTTTCGACAATGCTTCACAAACTGTAAAAGAAATCGCATAGGAAATCCCTCGAACTAAGAAAGTAACGAACCGCCCCCGAAATCTAGCACAAAACAATCTTTCCTTATCTGTAATCTTTACTAACATACGCAGCTTTCTACCGAAACGAGAAAAAGTATCTAGCCTTGTGACGTCATCCAATGCCAATCTTGTTGTATTAACAGAAACGTGGCTTACCGATGACGTGACGGACACTGAAGTTCTTGCAGATCTTCCTAACTTTCACTTATACCGAAAAGATCGCGAATGCACTCGCGGAGGAGGCGTACTCGTTGAGGAGGCGTACGGGCCGTCGGCCCGGAATTATCATGTTCCGTAATCAACATAGCATCTGACATAGAAATCTTATGGCTACATTGCCGGGCTTCACCCCACACAATACTGCTTGGTGTCTGCTACAGACCACCGAATGCAAATCCAGACTTCCAAACAAATTTAACGATATACTAAATGCGCTCACCAAAGCCCACCCGAATGCCCATATTTTGCTGTTTGGTGACTTTAACCTTCTTAATATTAACTGGCAAACCGGAACAACCGCACAAGGAAACCAGAAAGACTCGAGAGAATTTCTAGATGCTTGTTTCAACTTTAACTTATCACAACTTGTTTCAGAGCCAACACGTGTTGCCGCCAATTCTGCAAACATCCTTGATCTCATTCTAACCACCCATCTTCTAGCTTATCGTCGAATTCCTATATCGATGAAATTAGCGACCTATAAAGTTATTCATGCAGATTTCGCATTTTCCCCAGAGCGCCGTGAAATGCTAAACAAAACAATATGTTTATATGATAAAGGTAACTATCAAGAAATTAACAACGAACTCAGTAGCTTCTTCCCAGATTTTGAAGCCAACTTCCGTAGCCGATCCGTCAATGAAAATTGGATAGTTCTTAAACAAAAACTTATTGAACTAAGAAATAAGTTTATTCCGAGACCACATTTCGTGCCACGCAGCAAAAGCCCTGGTATACTAAAACATTAAACCGACTTAGCAACAAGAAAAAACGCCTTTTCCGCCAGGCAAAATCTAAAGGAACGCCATGCGCATGGAATAAATACTACTCCGCCGAAAATGACTATCTTACAGCAATTCGCAACGCCAAGCACGCATTTTTTAACCTACCCAACATTTTTTAACCTACCCAACATGCTAAGTGATTACGTAAGAAAATTTTGGCAGACCGTCAATCCAAAACCATCTCGCACTATCTTCCTTACTAACGAATCCGGTGAAGTGACCACAAATGCCGAGTGTGCTCATATTTTTAACATTGCATTCTCGTCGGTGTTCACCAGAGAACCTAGTATGCCTTCCGTTCCCACAACCACCCTGATAGGTTCTAGCATGCCTGTGCTAGCATTTTCCGCAGACGGCATTTCTTCCCTAATAAAAAACATTAAACTTTCCTCGTCATGTGGCATTGACGAAATTAATTCTAAACTGTTAAAGAACATTACCGATACAATTGTACCATACTTGCACCTCATATTCTCACAGTCACTCAGCACCGGCGACCTTCCTATCGTCCCATTTCATTAACAAGCATCCCATGCAAAATCATGGAACATGTCATATATTCTCATGTTATCAACTTCCTCGATTCCAATAGTTTCTTTCACACCTGTCAGCATGGCTTCCGCAAGAGACTTTCCTGTGAAACACAATTAGCACTCTTTCTTCACTACATACATACAAATCTTGACACCAACTTTCAGACTGACGCCATTTTCCTAGACTACGCAAAACCATTTGATACAGTTCCACACAACAAACTAATACAGAAGTTATCCGGGCTAAATCTTGACCCTAACGTGTTAAGATGGATTAAATCTTTTTTAGCTAATCGTTCTCAATTCGTGCACGTAAATAATGAATCCTCTGAACCTCTCGAAGTAACGTCAGGAGTACCGCAAGGGTGCGTCCTTGGCCCCTTGCTATTTCTAATCTATATTAATGACCTACCACTAACTGTGTCTTGCAAAATCCGCATGTTCGCCGACGATTGCGTGATCTACCATACAATAACTAATGCTTCCGATCAACTAACCCTACAACACGATCTGAACAACATTCAAGAATGATGTGACAATTCGCTTCTCAAACTTAACCCCAACAAGTGTAAGGTTGTCTCATTCACTCGCCGCAAAAATCCTTTCCTATTTCCATACCAAATCACTAACGCCCCTCTAGAAATAGTACAGTGTTTCAAATATCTAGGTGTCACACTGTCCGCCGATCTAACTTGGAATACACATGTCACAAACATTATCTCATCTGCAAACAAAATATTGGGATTCGTGAAACGTCATCTGCGTTGCGCACCTCAACACGTAAAACTTCTCGCATACACATCCCTCATCAGGCCAAAACTGGAATGCGCCTCTGCTATATGGAATCCACCTCAAATTTACCTAATCAGTGACCTTGAATCAATTCAAAATTGCTCAGTCTGATTCATACATTCGTCATATTCTTATGACATCAGTGTTTCATCCTTAAAAGCCCAATCTGGATTGCAGCCACTTGCCCTTCGACGCCGCATAGCCACTCTTTCCCTGTTTCATAAGCTGTTTCATTCGCCCCTCAACCATCCTCCATACGTCATCCCTGCGACGTACATTTCGCACCGCACCAGCCACCCCCTCCAAGTCTTCCGTTACCGCACTAGGACTGCTACCTTCTCCGCATCCTTCTTTCCGCGTGCTGTGAAGGACTGGAACGACCTCCCAAACCACGTCGTCACAATCACCTGCCCATCAACTTTCGCTAAAAATGTAACAACTCATCTCTGTCAGTGAAACTTTATGGCAATGTATATATCCACACCTATGTAGCAATATTTTATACTTTGAATGTAGCAAAAGTTTTATATCCTGTATACCAACCCCTTATGTGGCAAATGTTTTTTATATCCTGTACATCCACCCCTTATGTAATACCCCCTTGTGGGGTCTTTAAGGAAATAAAATATGATGATGATGATGATGATGATGATTTTCAACCAGGTGACAAAGTATGGATATGGACCCCAGTGCGTCGTCGAGGACTTTCTGAAAAACTTTTTAGCCGCTACTTCGGGCCTTACGAAGTACTCTATCGTGTAAGCGATGTAACTTACCAAGTCAGATCCGCTATACACGGGAGCTCCAAACGCCGCAACCCTACAGAGGTTGTACATGTAGTCCGGATGAAGCCTTACTACGAAAGATCACCAGGAAGACCAGTGACGCCTACCACGAATCTATTCATTGCCTGACGCATCGAGACGATGCGTATGAGGAGGGGGATTATGCCACGACATATTGCCTGCATTCAAACAACACGCCCATCACCGCGCGCACAGGGACATACATGCGCGCTGTCTAGTGTTGCACAGAGACGATGATGATAGCACGAGAACCCAGCTGGCCCCGGCTGATGTGCGCCACGCGCTTGGGACTCTTCTTGAAGAAGTAGAAGGAGACATCTTTGGTGTTCTGCTGTAACGTGCTACGACCATAGTCCCTTTGAGTTGTGGGCACAGGTTCGCCCTTTAATAAATACGTTTTATAACGCCCCGAGTCCCTTCAACATCGTTACAATATGAGCTTAGGTGTGTGCAAGGTTCCCATACAAGAGGGGAAGGGGGGGAGAATGATTCATTGCAGTATACTGCCCCTTCATATTAAGTCAATGTATGGGTCAGATTTCGCACCCCTCCTTTCAGGTGACTAGGAGGGCGCCCTGCCCCCTAGTAAATGTATGGTGGAGATTTTGCACCTCCCTCTTAGGTGACTAGAAGGCGAGGGGGGCTGCCCCCTGTGCCCCCCTCGTGCGCACGCCTATGCATATCGGACCATTGTTTGTGCCTGAGCGCATTCAGAGTGAAAATGATATCTGAATTTATTGATTGCTAGGTGTACCTGTCCACTGTCCAGTGAAGTATAAAATGCGAAAGTTGTGTTGCAGTGATTGTCTTTCAAAACACACCAAATGTGCTTTAATTACCTGACAGCTACTGAATTAGGCTTTAGGTTGCTAAGTGTAATCTTGGCTATAGCAGCTACCTTGTGATGAGGTCGATTTGCAATATTGCTTATATGGTTAGACTCGGAGGCCCTAGTTGGTCAAAATTTTTTCAGGGTTTTCTGCTACGATGCTTCATAATCTGTAGTTTAATCTAAAACCTATCAATTTCGTATTTTAAATAATGTGATGTTTTCTAACGTTTTTTTTTCTCCTTTTTAGGATGGTCAGGTGCTCGAGCTGTCGCAAGTGAATGACATAAGGGCTGGTGGAATACCAAAGGTATCTCTCAGCATCTTCATTCATACAGAAGTTTTCTTTTGTGACCCACCTAAGCAGTAAACACCGAGCAGATGCTATACTTCATGCTCTTATAATTTGGTCTAATCATTGGTCTATATCAGTGTATATGTGTAATTGTGTGCTTTAAAAGATCTGTCGGAAATCTTGAAAAAAATCTGGAAAATGCAATATTGGCTTGCTATGTTCACAATGACTCTATTTTTGCCCCAAAAAGTAAAAAAACACAAACTTTTTTGCCCCCCAAAGTACGTGATGCACGTGTTTCGAAAAGCAGAAACGATAAGGCAGTCTCGAGTTCATTTAAAACCGCAGGCTGCTCATTCGCCGAGGCCCGTGGTATAAGCTGCATCAAGCGCTGGCTACAAAGCTTCGTCGTTCTTGCAATCTGATTCCTCCAAATCGCTCTCGCCACATACTTCATTCACAATGCCCCAATTCGTGCACGGTTCCGCAGTGTCGGCATCATCATCGGCCATAATTAAATCATCGCAACAGATGTCCCACCCGCTCTCCCAGGTCGGAGTCGTCAACGCGCTTCCACAAATCGCCGCTGCAGTGGTCCTGTTCGGAAGCTTCAGGCTCGGCATCGGGCCCAACGTGCACTTGATACGAGCGTGCACTTGACCGCTGCACGTGAGTGGTGCAACGCGGCTTGTCTCTGGCAGGAAGGCCTATTCACACTTCTCGGAGGTAGCGAATGCGCCAAAACTCACTGGAATTTCTCTCGCTTCGCCCCCGGAATTTCATTTCATTCCATTTATTGTACCCTGCGGGCCAAACGAGGCATTAGAGAGGGGAGTAGTGACAATAAGATAAAATGACAATAACTACAGTATAGGTGAACCATGAATAGGGATGTAATACAAAGAACAAAAAATACATAAGAAAACCATTACAAAGCAAAAAGTGAAGGTAAGTTATACAATGAATACAAACATGAAAACATGAAAAATAAAACAACGCAAGAAAAACAAACATACAGTATATGAATAAATGACATTCTAGTTAGCAATGTTGTTTATAGCAATACAAAACAAGGAGTTATCACTTATAGATACAATGTCTTCAAAAGGTCGTTCCACTTTAGTGACGTCCTAGGAATGAATGATCGACAAAATGTGTTTATGCTGCTAGAAGCAACAAGAACCTTATGAAAATGGTTGATGCGACACGATACATAGTGAGGAAATACATACATGGCCAGGAAACGATGCCGCTAGGCCGACGCGAAAAAATCGGGTCGAGACCAATTTTGCTGCCACAAGCGGCCACTGTCATGAGTAAAAGGGCGCGATGCATGTTTAGGGCGCTGGAATGCGGTGCCGGTGTGCGAGACCCCTATGGTGCACTTACGCGCCACGTTCATGTACGATATTGGACAAGAAGGTTCGTGGCACGCGACCCGAACTGTAATGGGGAATCCCAGAGAATGAGCTGTCACTGTGTTGGGGCTTCGAACTGTGAAGATCAGTAAGGCCAGTGTCGCTACTCGACGGAAGCAGTAGAGCTGCCTGATTCTGAGGCTGTCGACGAAGAGGCCTGAGAAGTGGCCGTCGATCTTGGAAGACTCTAGTGAGGCTGCCCGGACTTGCGCAACCTGTCACAGCAGTTCCTGGCGGAAACTAGAGCTCTTGCGCTTGAGCCAGAATAGATGCGACCCGCACCACAGTCAAGACTCCATTGACGAACCAGGCGTACTAATGGAGCCGGAGAAGACGAAGACTGAAACATACCGGCAATGAGATTGATTGGCTCATTGGGTGGAAGAAGACCAGGACTGTAGGAACTTGCGGAAGACGTCAATGACAAAATTGACAAACCATCGACATGGGGAGGGCACCGAGTTGACGTGGCAATGCAACAAACTGTAAGAACGTTTTCGTACTGAAACCCCATCTTAGATGGCTACCAGATGGGGCTAGAATTGGCTATAACGCAGATCGTCGTTAGTTCTGTTTACGGTCCATTGTAGAAGTGTGTACATATAGTGTTCGTGAATTTCGAGTGCTTTAAAGCAAATTATGTGTATTTGCTTCGTCCGTCCTTTGTATAAAGTGTGTTTGTTTTGCCACACCCGTCTTGCCTCTCTCTCAATCTAATCTTTTGCAAGCACTCCCGGGATAATTGTGACCACTACGCACTGGCAGCAAAAGCGGAAACTGGCGTGATAAAGCCGTAAATGTTTTTAAGTTTATGGATGAGATAGCAAACTTGATATTTGTAACAAGCTTGATAACAACGATGCTTTTCCTGACAGGAATTGGTTAAGCGCAGTTGATAAGGAAGGGATCGCGCGTGCCATGTTGAGCTGCGTGCGGGTGGCAGCAAGCGGCTAGAGCCACACTAGCAATGCTAGTAGACTGTAGCCGCGTCGGAAGTTGTGCAAAGGCTTATCTGTTGTGTAGGCAACCGCCCTCCTCCCCCTCGGTGAACGCACACAGCGTGCTGCAGTCTCCTTTCCTTTTTTTCTCTTCCATATGCCCTTGTTTATTCACTTCGCGTTCCCTCCCTTCGTTAAGACCTCGTCCCTCCTCTCCAGCGGCGCATCTGTAATAAGTGACTGGCGAGGAAGTTCAAAGTGCGTGTCATTACAAGAGTTGGAAACAGACAACGACGAAGGTGGATTGAGCACTGGGCTGGAAATGAAAAAGGAAGAAAAAAAGGAGGGTGGAGCGTTGCGGCAAAGGCACGAGGGAAGAAACAAGAAAGACGGGGCTTGCTACTCGGCCGTTGGGTTCTGGACCCAAGCCTGGTAACAGCTGAGCCTGGGCCACCTGCCACGTACTACCTGCCACGGCCGTGCATCGCTGACGTGCTGCGGCTTCAAGGCATCCTGTGCCAGAGGACACGTGCAGCTGTCGGGCTACGAGCACAAGTTCCAGCGGAGGTGTCCGGTTGGGACGGGGCTACGGTGGTGGTGCCTACCCTTCAAGTAGCCTCCTGGTCTATCATACGGATAAGGTGATCCTGGTCGAGAAGTACCAATGAACTGTGGTGAGACCGGCCTCGTGTCTTGTGTCCATGTTAAGATGAGGGACTGTTAGGTTAGGACTGCAGTAGCGCAAGGAGACAGTGATGGATTGTTTACATAGTATGTCTATGTTATGTGTGCTCATTTTTTTCGTGTGTATATAAAGTGTGGTGTACAAACGGCCTCGTCTCTTCGTGGGTCTCTGGAGCGACGTCTCGAACACCCATTCATGAAGAACTTGCACGTTGCAATAACACACACATAGCAACGTAACAGCATCCAGCGTGCCTCCTTTAGCTATATTCACACGCCAAACTAAATCTTTGGTTCGACACTTGAAATTGCATGCTACGTTACCATACATCATCTGTACCCGCATCCCTACTTTGGTCCGCGCGGAACGATTTGGGAAACGATGGAAGCCCAATTCACAGTAGGGATTCTTGGGGAGCAATGCCAAAATCCTCGCTTGTAGCGGGAATTCTCCCCTATTGTGTGAATGCTGGTTGCGGAGGGATCCGAAACACGTCGCATGTGACGTGACTGATCCGTCCGCAATCACGTCCGTCGTGTGAATACAGATTTTCAGACGTCCCACTCACTGACGCGTTTGTGACAGATTTTTCCAGCCACTACATTATAACCTGTCTTTATTCCTGGGCAACTGCACAGTGAGAGGTATGCATATATATGGGGTTTAATGAGGAAGTAAATGAGACTTGAAAAAGGCTGCATTGTAACCCGTTCTGGACTTTAAGCTTTTACGTTATAAGTGGTCTACACTATATATATGTATATATATATATAATTTTGCAATCTGTAATTTTGCAGAGAACCGTTGCACAAAATTTTGGCAGTACTTCTTAACATGTTAGCTTGCAGCTTGTACAATAGCTTGATCTAGAGTGAAGGAGTCTGGCTTTATGCATCATGATGGGTCATTTTAAAGGGCATATTATTTTGCCCCTGTCAAGCTATTCCTAAAAGCCAATGCTTCATAAAGTTTTCTACTACTACTAAACCATACTGCAAGTAGTATTATATTAGGTTCAGTAAAATAGTATTTAACAATGAGCAGTATGTGTATGCACTCAAACGGACTGTTTAATTTTGTGGAAATTTGCAGGCCTATTCAACATTGACACCCTGAACTGTTCGTCATCATCATTGTCACTTGCTAGTCCGCTCACTGCAAGGCAAAAGTCTTTTCTGTGTTTTTCTAATCAGCTCAGTCCTGTGCTTCCTGCAATGACATTAAACCCACAATTGTCTCAGCTTCATCTGTACATCTAACTCCTCTCATACGCTTGCCTTCTATTGCGTTATAGGCATAAGAAATTTGGGCTTCTGGGCTTATTACTCGGCATTGTGTCACTAATGTGAATGCAGGTATGCAGTGTGTCTGACTGTGCGTGTGTTTGCAGGATGTAAGACTGTTGGCTGAGCTTAGTAGCAAAAACCGGTATGGCCTGGATGAAGTTTCACTGACCATCTGCTCTGGCACGGACATGGTCAACATCAACTACACCCATGTTGTCTGCCCTGACCCTGAAACAGCCAAGGTACGCATGGTGCCCTTCACTGTCTCCTTCTCATGGTGAATAAAACAATGCCGAAAAATAAAGGGGAGCAAGAAAGAACAACTGTCATAGGCAAACTGGGCAGCATATTTCACAGTTCATCTGAGCTTGCTTCTCTTACGACTATGCATGATAATAGCTAAGGCTTAGTGTGAGCACAAAGTAGCCATCAGTAGGGATATTGAAGGACCTCTCAGTAATGGGAGAATAGTCATTGGTCATTACCAAAGTGATTCTTACCTAAAAGGAAAAATGGCAGGCAGTAATTACGCTGAGGCTCGAAAAACTAAGCGCATTGCTTTCTGTATTAAAGAATAACATGTACTTCATTCACTTTAACGCACATTCTGCAAGAAATAAGGAAGATTAGATAATTGCTCTTATTTCAACTAAGATCTGAACCTCATGTTCTTATGATGACAGAAACTTGGTACAAAAATTAATCTGAAGTTTTCTAATCATCCGGCTGTGCAACATTCTTTTCAAATCACCGAACAAGATTAGGAGGTGGTGTTTTTTGATGATGGCTAAATGTTCATTAAAATGTCGGCTGGTTCAAGAATTTTTGTATATCACTAATGTTTTGTGAAATATTGATTGTTCAAAGTAATGGTTTTGTTTATGGTGTGTTATACCACCCTCCTAAGGGTAACAAGTTGAATTTCCTAGCATTCTTAGATACATACTTATGTTGGGTTGGAGACACTGGTAGTAAGCTAACTATTGCAGGTGATTTCAATATCGATGTTGCGAAAGCATCAGAAAGTCAGTTTCAACTCTGTCAAGTTATTGAATCAAATGGGTTTTTTAATGTTGTCACCATCCCAACTTGCATTGACAAAAATAATGCGACATTAATCGATATGTTCATTACTGATATAGAAGCTTCGAAATGTTTCTCCGGCGTACTCAGTGCACCCATCAGTGATCATATGCCTATTTTCATGTTCATAAACGAAGCCGCGAATCGTGCGCCCTTCCAACTTGGAGAACCAATAGTTATTCAAGATATCAATATATATACATTGACTGCATTTCGCAGGGACATATCATTAACTGATTGGTCAAGCATGTACTGCAAGCAACCAGAAGTCGCCTGTAATATTTTCTATGATAGACTGAGTAGGTTTTACAAGAATTGCTTTCCGTACACACAGCTGAAGCATGCACGCAAAGCCAAAAAACCATGGCTGACAAAGACTTGTTTTGAGGAAATCGAACCTAAAAATAGATTGTTCCAAAACTTCCTGAAAAACAAAAACGAAGAAATGCTTAAACGTTTCAAATCCAAGCGAAATAAAGTTAACAGCTTGTTGCATTACGAAAGGAGAAAAATACCTGAACAGCATCTTCAACAGAGATGTGAAGAGTAAACAAGACTTAGCTTGGTCCAGGCTAAACAAATTTCTGGCCATAATGGTGATGGCTTCCGGCCCACGGAACTCGTGATAGATGGGGACGTTACTTGTAAGGATGATTTAGCAAATTTATTCAATGATTATTTCGTAACCCTAGCAAAGGAACAACACAATTCAGCTTGTACCACATGCTTATCTGGCAGTATCTCAGAGTGCGTTTTTGGCACCAAAAATAGCCGGTGAAGTTTCAAATGCTTTTTTGTCTGTGAAAAACAGCACGTGCTGTGATGCATGTGATTACAGATTAAGCCCATCAATTGCTGGATTATTGGAGCATATCTTTAATCTTGTTTTTTCGAACGGAATTTCCCCCCGAAGTTGCAAGTGACAAAAGTGGTTTGGCACCAAAAATAGCCGGTGAAGTTTCAAATGCTTTTTTGTCTGTGAAAAACAGCACGTGCTGTGATGCATGTGATTACAGATTAAGCCCATCAATTGCTGGATTATTGGAGCATATCTTTAATCTTGTTTTTTCGAACGGAATTTCCCCCCGAAGTTGCAAGTGACAAAAGTGGTTTGGCACCAAAAATAGCCGGTGAAGTTTCAAATGCTTTTTTGTCTGTGAAAAACAGCACGTGCTGTGATGCATGTGATTACAGATTAAGCCCATCAATTGTGTGTTAGGTATCATTGCTGGATTATTGGAGCATATCTTTAATCTTGTTTTTTCTAACGGAATTTTCTCCCGAAGTTGCAAGTGACAAAAGTGGGTGTGTTATACAAAGAAGGAGGTGAAAATTCACTTAACAATCACGGGCTGATATCTATACTTTTAGTAATCTCGAAGAAACTAGAAAAACTAATTCAAAATCGTATGGTTTCCTTCCTAGATAAACACCACATTATCACTACTTTGCAGTTGCGTTTGATCAATGGCCGTTCGACAGAACGTGCTTTTTTAGAGCGAAAGGAATTAAAACAAATGGTCTTGAAAGCAAACTCCACACTTTAGGCATCTTCGTAGACTATGCAAACGCGTTTGACACAATAAATCATACTACGCTGCTAAAAAAATGTGCACACTATGGCTTGCAAGGTGTCTTCTTAGAGCTCAATGAATCATTCCTAATGTATTGGCAGCAGAAGGTAGTCGTGAGCAATAGTACCTCCAATATACTAAAAATTTCAACAGGTGTAACACAAGGTAGCATATTATGGCCTTTGCTTTTTGTATATACACAAATGATATTGTAAAAATTGACACGTCTGTAAAATGTATTATAAATGACACAACCTTGCTCCTCACTGCTAAAAGTTATAAAAACCTAATTAAGGACGCAAATGAGCTACTGGCAAAGTTGACCACGTGTACAAGTATTAACTGTTTAAAATTAAACACATCAAAAACAAAAGCTATAAATTACAGGCTGAAAAATAAACATATGCCTTGCTATGTACCATTAAAACTTGATAGTTCAGAACTTCAGATGGTACAGTGTATTAAGTGTCTGATAATAATTTTCGATGAACACATGTTTTGGAACGCATATACTGAAAAGCTATCTAGCACTTTTTTCAGGCATATTATCGCAGGTGCGTTTCTCGCTACCTAAGGCAGTGAAGCTTCTCATTTATAAATCCTTGTTTTTATCTCATGTTAACTACTGTCATCTTGTTTGGGGTACGACCAGGTTAACAAATATCCACAAATTGCGCGTCATACAGAAAAGGGCTGTTCGTGCCATTGCAAATGTTTCTTATTGCTGTCACACCACTCCCATATTCAGGGCATGAACTTACTAACTCTACCATAATACTACCTCACAATGCTTGTAAAACGCTACCATGCAGGATTAAAATGTGACAACTTTTTAGGAATCATTGCTGTCCTAAAGCACCGCAAAGATTTTCGCAACCCCTGTTTCAATCACACGTGGTTTATCCCACGCATGCGTACCAACTACGGCAAAGAAATTCTTCACTTTTTCTTGCCGTTTCGTTTGAATGTCATATCTGCCATCGGAGTGAAATTATGCATTTTTTTTTTTCAAAACATTTTGTGTCTCTTATATAACTATCACATGGGCACATGCCCAACCTGACTTTGGTGCAAATTCAGTAGTACTTGTATCAGTACTCTGTAATAATGTTTTTTGTATGTCGAAGAAATAATTACAATGATTTCTTTTTTTTTTTTCAATTTCACCTTTTGAGTTTATAATTTTAAATCTTTATGCTTTATTTTCACTTGCATAAACTATCACTAAACTGCTTGCTCAATATGTGCATTTTCATTGCAATAAAATTGTTGTCTATGCCGCACATTTGTAAGGGGTCGTGGTCCCAGTCAAGCCCTCTAGAGGCTTCTTGACCACGGCCCTCAGCAACTCGAATGTAGAAATAAATAAAGTTTCAAAGCTTTATTATTGCTGCTATAACCCTTTATCATGGCAATAACAACTGTATTTTACATTTTTCATACCACAACCTAGATGTGACCAAACATACCATCACTTCTCATTAGTGATAACACAGTTCCGAGCTTTTCTTCTAAGTATGTCGTAGAAATAATTGATTGATTATTTTTTTGCATTCTTGTGTTGGACTAAATAGAAACCCAGGTGAAAATTTCCTGCTGATTGGCTACTGGTTCCAGCAGTGCTGGTTTAGTAGTATATACCCAGCAGGTGATAGAACCAGCAGTTGATTGAACCTGTAGTTGATAGAACCAGTAGCTGTTGGTTCCAGCACAGTGTTGTGAGCAGTTGGCCAACCTGGAAATCGCGACATGGAGCACACTTCGAAGCAACAAGCTGGCAATAAGCCGAATTTGAGCTGCATATTGTCAGCCTAGATTTTATTGCAGCTCAAACCATTTGAAATCCACAGCATGTTTCTAACTGGAAGTCAGTCCCTTCATAGCTCAACAATCATTGCATTCCATTTTCGTAATACTTTGAGTTGGAGGGGTACTAGTGTGCCGATTAATTTTGTTCCCTTCAACACCATGTAGTTCTAAAGGTGCTGCTGTTTCAAAAGTCTGTTAAGTATACACAAAGGTTGATCTAAAGTAATGATGATTATGTTTTATTAAAAATCTGTTATACACCCTTAATTTGCCAGCTTTGGCTTGCACTCAATGTATTGAATCATTCCGGACGAAAATCCATAGGGGACCTTGATACCCTCCACAAGTGTCGTCAAAGGCAACACAGTGATGCAGGCAATCTATAACAAAATAAAAGATTTCACGACAGCTTATATCAATCTAAAAAAAAGTGCTACTTAACACGGGAAGCACTGTGCGCGTGGACATGCATATCAAGTGAATTGACTTTTGCATCTCTACAACACCATTAGTTCACCCAGCAAACTAGAATTAGGCACTGTGTTAATATGTCATTTACACCGCGGTGATAAAGGAACATGGCTTACATCAACCGACATACATACGCGCATTCATTAACATCTCGAACACCTATGTACAACGACAGTGAGCCTAATAAAGCACAGAAATGTTTGAGATATGCACGGTTTACTTATATTTGAAATGAATAATGCAGCTTACCAGCATGGAAGACTCGGGACTGAAAGAATGGTAGGCCTCGATCTGCACTCAAGAAA